TACTTTTCCGCACTCAGTGCGGATACGGGCCTTATCCGCACTGAGTGCCGAAAAGTAAAAATAATTGTCAAGCAACAATAAGTGCACCTGTCGACTTTGACACATGATGACAAATTTCTCCTGTGTTTCTATATCAGCCAACATCTATACAAACACTGAATATAATTATTATCTTTAACGTCAGATTTGTGTTCTCCATTTACATGCAAGAATCTACAAACTTCTTTCGCATCAAATTTAAACGCCTTAAGATGAACAGCTCTGACGAGAATTTAAATTTTCTGTTTTTTTGTTATGTAATTTTTTGATGAATGAATAGGTTCGCTCCAAGTCAATTGAAAATAATTGAACAAATTCTCGAAAAGTATCACTTTCCGCATTTGTTAGGTAAATAACTATTTCCTACAGCCGTGCGGAAAAATCAATTTTCCGCACTGATATCCGTGCGGAAAATAAGTTTTCCCGCACGGTGCGGTAAAACTTTTACCGCACGCATATCAGTGCGGAAATAGTTATTTATGATATAAGTGTTAAAAGTACATTTTTAAGGCACGCATGTGAAAGTTTGCAGATTGAGCGAAGCGAATTCTGCAATTCACATAAGTGCCTTAAAAATACTTTTAACACAAATATCATACAATATTTTTTCTACAAACGGCAATAAAAAGCAATAACCAGTAACAAATTGGATTTTTAAATGAATAATAAATTGGAAGCATCTTTCCTACATAAAATTATTGAATTTGACATTTGTCAAAAAGTTCAAACAACCAGCACCTTGTTTTACAGGTAATGAAATGTATTGTCAGTTTCTTGAAAGACTGTCGTGGTTAGTAATGCTTTTTGCTTAAAATGCAACAAAATACAGAAGAAAAAGAGGGTTGCATCGATCCCTTGAAAAATATAGATGAGGCGGCCAATCGGGCTACCTCAGTTGTTCAAATTTCACCATTAATATCAATGTAAATAACTAAAAATACAAACTTTTTTTGACGTTCGCTCTCAAAATTTGATGTTTCATTTTTAACACTAGTGCTATAAAGACTTTATGGCACTAGTGCGATAAAGTAACATTTTTAATGCTTCGGGGGGGTGTTAAAAATTGCATTTTTAACACGTTTGTAGAAAAAAGTTTTTATTTGTCACTCATTTGTAAAACGTCATTTATCGTCAAAACATAAACAACGAAAATTGATTTTTACCAGTTACTGGCTCTACTGACTTGTAAAATTGACAGCTAAACTGTAATAGTATATTACGCAACAAGTATAGTAAAACCCTTTGCAAATGCGTTGCTTATTAGTTATTAACATTACAAGTGCGTTTATGAACATGATTACAATAACGAGTGTGAAAGATTAGAACGACGAGGTCGTAGACCAAGTCGTTCTAATCACATGAGTTTTGTAGTCATGTTTAAACGCACGTGTGATGTACAACGTTTTATCTACAAAGCGGAAAATAAAAATGTTTTTTTAATTATTTTCATTTATTAGTAGCTGTCTACCTTTATTTTACCTTTACAGGTTTACCTTTGACATTTGTCAAATCATCAAAAATAGTTGTGTTATAGATTCATAACCTAGTCCATAACAACACTAGTTGTGTTATGAATTCATAACCTAGTCTACAACACCACTAGTTGTGTTATGAGTCTCATGACATAACTCAAATACTAGAAAAATGGTTATGTAAAAATGTCATAACCAAACCCTTGTAGATAAAAACTTTTTATTTGCAACCATATATGTAATCTCGACATTATTGACTTTTTGAAAATTTGAAAGTGAACACTTCCCTACTCGGTATGTAATATACTATTACAAGTCAGTAGGGTCAGTAGAATTATTTATTAAATTTATATTACTTATGTATTATTTTTTTATTTATTGTTTACAAATGTGTAACAAATTATTTTACATTATTAGCCCAGGTAAAACAGTTTTTAAAGTCTGTTTTTTTTTTAAAGATAATTCTCCAAGTCAAAAATTTAGTAACTATGTTGGCAGCACAAGCCTTTTCTACATAAAAAATTTGAAAGCATTGACAATTTTACATTGTATTGCCAACATAATGTCATTTTGACTTTTATCTTTAAAAAACAAAACAGACATTACTGGTGATTGAAGGAAATGACTAGCGAGCCGTCAGGCGAGCTTGTCACCTTCAAGAGCCAGTAAAAACTGATACCTGGCGTATGATGTACAATAATCTATTCCGCACGGCTGTCAGTGCAGAATAGTTATTTACCTAACAAATGTGGAAAGTGATACTTTACCGCACGCAACGGCAGTTGACCGAACGACGCGAAGCGGAGTTCGGTCAAGCCGTTAAGGGCGGTAAAGGCACTTTCCGCATGTGTTAGGTACAAAATTTTACCTATGAGCATCTACATCTCCAAAAAAGGGCATTGAAAAAATTAATTATTGAATCAAATTAATGAATGAAATTAGATTAGATTTAGAAATTATCAAAAATCCATTTTCTGAAAAAAAAAAGGATTTTTGATTATAAATATCAAATTCTACTTTACCGCACACTATGCGGTAAAGTGCACTTTACCGCACACTTTGTAGTCCACTTTACCGCATACTATGCTGTAAAGTTCACTTTACCGCACACTATGCTGTAAAGTTAACTTTACCGCATAGTGTGCGGTAAAGTGCTACTTTCCATTTGCAAATACGTGCAGTAAAGTGCACTTTACCGCACGCTCGTAGGTAAAAAATTTTACCGCACGGCTGTCAAAAAAAAAAAATTCTAAAGCAGCGTTCCGTATCTTAACCAGAGTTACCGATCGATATATAGCGGTTCGTCTATGGTGACAGTCTGGTTCCTGAAAATGAGGTTTAAGTGTGGAACGCTTCGGTTTACCTTTGGTTTGCCTTGGATGCTAGATGATAGAATATTATCCTTTTAAAAATATATTTGTAATAAGAAATCGACATGAATGAATGTAATATTTACCTCTTGTTCCATTTTCATCGCAAATATACCCTGAAAGCGGAAGTACAATGAAAAAATTGAAAAATTATCACCTAACCTAACAAACAAATGTCAGAAATTGAAAACAAACCGAAACAACCAAAGCAATTTGATCGGTTGGTTCGGTTGACAGTTGGGACCGAATTTTTCAGGAACCGCGTTTCATAACCTAACCAGATTTCAGGAGTGGTTAGGTTACGGAACGGGAACCGGGAAAAACCAAGAATCTTGGTTAACTTACGGAACGCCGCCTTAATTTTTACGCCTGTAGGAAAAATATTGTACAGGGTGTTTCCTTATATTTTGGCCCCTACCTACAGCTTTAGCTATACGAGGTGGAAAAAAACTTCAAATATAAAAGTTGTAGGGTTTTATGTCTATTATCTTTTAAGAATGTCAAAACGGGCAAATGACAGGTGCCAACTGTCACAATGATAAACACTTGCATTTTTCAAATAGAACACCCTGTATATTTTTGGCTAGAATGGTAGCTTTTTTTCTTCTGATTCCAAATATATCATATATGTTGATATTTGGTTCAGTTATTTTTGCGCTATTTAATTTTAAAAATGCATTGAGCCAGCCTCATCATTCATATAAGAAACCAGGACAGATTAAATTAAGGGTAATGTAAATGCATTTTTAAACTTGAATAGCGTAAAAACAGCTGTACCAAATATCAGCATATGTGGTATATTTGAAATCAGAAGAAAAAAATCTATGATTCTAGCCAAAAATATACAGGGTGTTTCATTTGAAAAATGCTAGTGTTTGTCATTGTGACAGTTGGCACCGGTCATTTGCCCATTTTGACATTCGCAAAAGATAATAGACATAAAACCCTATAACTTTCATATCTAGTTTTTTTTCCACCTCGTATAGCTAAAGCTGTAGGTAGGGGTCAAAATATAAGGAAACACCCTGTACCTAACACTTGCGAAAAATGATTTTTTCCGCCTTCGGCTGCTTCACCGAACTCCGCTACGCGTCGTTCAGTAATCGGCAGCCGCGTGCGGAAAAATTCATTTTCCGCACTTGTTAGGTAAATAGCTATTATAAAATTTTTTGTATAGCAAAAAAAATAAATATTATTATTATTATTCTTATTATTATTTTGTCAAAAAGTCAAAAGTAAAATTGTTTATCTAACACATGACAGTTATGACTATTATTATTAATGTCATTTTAGACAAGAAAACTATCAAATAACACACTAGTGTGTTATAATCCATAACTCACTAGTGAGTTATGGATTATAACTCACGTTCATATTTAAAGTAGTATTCTATTTAGTATTACTATTACAAGCAGAATTTACATTGATATATTGATATAAAAGGTAAAAGCTAACGGTTTGTTCGAATTTGAAGTCATTGTAAAATTCGTTGGTTCATTGGAACCAGACGCTCCCTTATCGGTACAGCTGCTGAGTGGTGGAAGACGCCTACGCATAGAACCTTGTATTTTTTTTATATTATCTCATAAAAAACGATTTCTTCCACTTGTTGGATAAAACATTGTATGCCACTCGTGTGTTATGTTTTCTAAGTCACTTGAAAATTTATACCACTCGGCCTGACGGCCTCATGGTATAACTCTGTATCTTTCTCGCGTGACTTATTTTCAAAATAACACACTAGTACCATAAATAACCATTATTATACAAATTCTTATGAAAACTGCCACTAGGGGTCGTGCATTTCAATTTTTGCCCTGTCTATATCGTTGAAATCAGGTTGAGGAGGACTAATAAAAAAGAGCACAATATACATGATGTTTCATTTAAAAGAGTGAAACGTCGCACTCCTACACTTTTTTGACGCGCCCTGTATGCTTTAAACTGAATTTGGTTAAAAACTTTTGACATTTCTCAAAACTTTTGTATTTGACACTTTTGTCAAAAACGTCAAATGAAAAAGTTACGAGGGGGTGACATTTATAATAGATCACCCTGTACAAAATATAGCATTTTCAAAAATCAAAATTATTTATTCAAATAAAAACACTATAACAATTCATTCGGAAAATTTAGCCAAAATTTCGGATTCCCTAAACAAAAAATAGGTTTCTTCCTCAACGTTCACTTTGGTACCGCCATAGTCTGGCAACATAACTTCGTCTCCCACTTTAAGGAAGATCGGTACTGGAGTCCCTTTGTCGGTTCTAGTACCTGGACCGACTGCAATTACAGTACCTAGAACCAAAAATATTTTTTAAAAAAAGTTCGCCTTTTTGAATTAGTGTTCACCTTTTTGTACGTTGCTCTTGGTATCTGGCAATACAATTCCGCCTCTGGTTTCCTTGACTGGATCGTCACGTTTCACTAGAATCCGATTGAAAAGTGGCACAATTCGCTTGATTCTTTGAGCATTGGTTAATGCTTGAGCAGACATTTTGAGATGAGTTTATTGAAATTATCTATTTGACACACAAAATTATAGATAATGACTTTGATAGGACTTTTGTTTGGTAAAACCATGGTGATTGTAGTTAGACCAGTAAAAATTTTCTAGAGTCAGTTTATTTTTAGACGGAGTAGGAAATAGTTACGATGACATTTTGCTTTTTTCTGGTTCTTTTCATTCATATCAATCATAAGATTTAATAGGTGTGTTTGTTATATCCGTGTAGGGTAGGTCAGTGCAGGCTGCTGGTGTAGCTCATGGCCACCAGGGTAAAGAAAAACTACCAAACGCGTTAGTGCAGACAGTGCAGTTCGTGAAGCGATAGAAGCGGATATCTAACCTCAACAAAATTATTATTAGGGTAAATTAAAGTGGAAAATGGAAACTAACCCAGAAAAAAATGTCCAATATTAACGAAAAAGATAACATATTTACAAGGTTTTATTGTCGGAAATTATAGAGGAAGTCGGAAGATGAAGAAGATTCCTCAGATTCCCTATCTTCCAGCTCTGACGACAAAATAAATTCATGCAATTGCACTTTTGTATTTGTACTTTCACTGCTCATTTTTTAGAGCATATCAATATATTTCATCTAACATTTAAGATTTAATTTGTAATGGCGATTTCGACTGGATTGCACTTTCGCACCCAGTGCGAACTTTTTTTGGCAGTTGACGTGTAAAGTATTGTTTATCTGTCAATTTTTAAAAAAAATTCGCACTGGGTGCGAAAGTGCAATCCAGTCGAAATCGCCATATAATAAATCTTATTTTAAGGTTTCAGGTTAGGAGCAACAAACAAAACAAAACAACAACATTGCCCCCTCCCCATTCTGCACTTGTTACACCTCCTCTTGAGCAGGTGTAGGTAGTGCATGATTGGGCACCCTACACTGAGATAACAAACGCCTTACACTATTTGCACTAACCGCATAACAAACGCCACAGTGCAGAAAAGTGTAAATTATTGTGCATTAGTGGAGGATAACAAACAGACCTAATATCTACTAACGTGACAAGATAGGTAACGCCCTATCTAAAAGCATTGGAGCAAGGTGGCACAAATATGTGTTAAGAATCTCTACGTATTCCTAAGAAATACGTAGAGGTATTTTATTAGAAGCAAAGGCTCCCATAAGCGTACCCATAAAAAAATCATTTTTTGAAATATATTTATCTAATTCCAGAAAAAGGTAGTTTTAAAAATGATAAATACGAGCACTTAAACTGAAAGCAAACTGGACTGTTTCCAAAAAAAAAAATACATGAGATGGGACCAAAACAATAGGTCTGTTTCTGCAGAAATCACAAACCAGTCAGAGCGAATTTCATTTCATTCATTCTAAAATCAAAATTAATGATTTTTTTTGCATACTTAAACACTTGACTGAAACCTATGAAAGAGTACCTCGACAAGTACTCCTCAACGTGGACAGTACTCTAGAAGCGCCGGTGCTTGCAACAACAGGAACAGTAGGGGCTTTAAAAATTTTAGCATCAGTTTTTGAAAATCTATAGTCTTTACTGCTAAAATGGCCTGCACAAACATACGTCCATTTGCTTACTGAGCTGGATTTTAAATTTAATGCTCCTAACCATGTTTTTTCCATATCATAAATTATCCGGAATACTAAAAAATAGTGTTAAATAGAAATACAAAATTAAAATATGTACCATGTTGTATTTTTGTGGCCTACATGCACCTCCGACACTGTTTTTTTTCCCCTTCAATCATGTCGATGTCATAAGTTTTGTTTACTTACGGGTGAAATGATAAACAATCCGCTGGTTTTCCTCTTTTCTGACACACTGCACACTTATTAGTCATTTTGAATCCTGAATAAGAAACTTTCACGAAATGTATAAACATGTAAATGATAAATTTTTAAACAATTCCATTTTAAAGCAGTGAAATACCCAAAAAAGTCGATAAAATAAACACACAATAATATATATTGACATTTACGCGGGTACGGCAATCGGTTGCTATTGGGAACCACCCAAACAATATACTCTGTTTAGCTAAACTTGTATAATGTTCTTTTCGTTTACATATTGCCTTAGAGAGAGATGTCTAAAGATCCAAAATGTAAACGGATCTTTGGAAATCGTACTATAGAAAACCAGCGTAAACAAAGTAAGAGAGACAAAATCAAAATATTTGGAGAGAGATCTTTGTACCATATTTGGAAGTTGATTACTCATCTTTTAGTGTTAACTAATCTAAGATATCAATCATATTTGCAGATTATCCAATAAGCTGTTCCTAAAAGAATCACAAATCAACCAAGCGTTTCTGATTGTGGTTCTTTTATATGGTATTTACCCAGAACAATACATTTTTCTTCGCAAATAGTTTGTAAGGCCAAACTCGTATTTTCTTTCGTATTTGAAAACAAAAACAAAATCTCCTTCAAACGGAAAACCATTGAAAAGGAAGTTCATTCCATTTCCGCAAAACAAAATATGCAAAAAATACTAAAAGTTGCATGCACTTTTCCGTCCGGATAGCAAATAAAATATGCAATAAGAACCAAGCAAAACATCTTTTTCGGTTTTGAAAAGGTTGCTGTTTGCTTGCGATCGATGTAGGCAATTACTGTTGCCCTCCTAGCTACAGAGGGCATGCAATTCTTGATTATAAGCAAACTTCCACCCTCGCGTGTGCAATATCCGCATCGATTTTATAGGAAATATATGTGTAGCGAAAATGGCCGAATTAAAAACCAATTTCGGCCTAAAAGGCGGCTTCGCAATTTTGCTAAAAGCGTTTCGCGATTGGGATTTTGTTTCCTCCCTCACCCTCTCTCCTGAATCCTGACTTCGGGCGTAATTATTGCCTTAAATGTACATCCATAAACTTGAACTAGGCAATCTAAGTTTGCCGATTACCGTTATATTCGATTAATACGATTGCGTTTTTATCGCATCTAGCTCAGCGGATGGGATTATGACGGATTGTAGATTGTAGATTGTGATGGTTGGTGTGTTTAGGTAGTCGACCTCTCCGCACTGCGACCTAATTAGATCCATTGTGCATCCCCTTATATCTAGCAAGTTCCCAGATTAAGGCTTTTGGTAAAGACTATAATGTTCCTGGGATTGGCTTTTTTTATATCCACAGCCGTTAAGTATAGGGCTGCTCCAGGTGGATGAGTCTTTTGCGGCACAGTGGCAAAGTATGTGTTCCGCAGACTCGAAGGCGTCTTCACAGAAGCGGCATTAGTCTGATTCAGTTTTGCGCATCTTTTTCAGGTGGTTACCCAAGGGGCAGTGACACGAAAGAAGGCCTATAAGCAGCCTAGATCCGCCTTACTATGGTCAATCATTTCCTTTGCCTTTATTGACTGGGGCGAGATGAACTGTTTCGCCTAAGTCCTGGAAGCCCATTCCAACTTCTTGAGCCTTTACCCAATTATGGACTTCCCCTATTATATGGCTTGCCGTAATGCGAAAGAAAAGTTCTGGTCCAAGAAATCGTGTTGCAGCTCCTTGTCTTGCGACCTGGTCCGCTATTCCATTCCCTTCGACTCCCTGGTGCCCTGGTACCCATGACAGGGTGACTATTGCGAGGCGCTAGTTGCTCTAGGAGTTGTTGAGAGTCCCTGAGTCCCATACCAGTCTTGATTTAGTGACAGAGCTACTCAGAGCTCTTAGTGCTGCCTGACTGTCGGAATTGATATAGATCTCCGCAGGTCTCTTACGAGACCCTTTCTAGCGCATAGTTCTATTGCGAATATTTCCGCTTGAAATAAGGTTGGGCTTTCTCCTAGGGCTGTTGATAGTCTACAAAGCAGCATACCCCTGCTCCAGTCACAGATGACCCCTTCGGGAATACAGGGACGATATTTTCTCCTTTGCGGCCTTCAAGAGTCACTTTGAAGGAGTGTATGCTGTGTAGCATGTGGTCAACTGGTTTTGTCTTCATATTTATGCATTCTTTCATAATGCTCATGTGGCCAAAAAACTCCCCTTCCTTTAGTTTTAGGGACTGCAATATTCCCGAATCCCGAGGCTCCCATGTAGGCCTCTTTCCTCGCTATTATATCTAGTGGACGGAAGCCCAACATGACCTCCATCGCGGCGGTTGTACAGGTGTTCATTGCTCCTGTAATTTCAAGACATGCATACCTTTGTACCGTTGCCAATCGGTTTTGCACTGTCTGTTATTTTACTTTTCGCCACCATATTATTGCAGCGTAATTGACCATGGGTCTTATGACCATTGTAAATAGCCAGTAGATCATTTTTGGCTTAGGACTCCAAGTCTTGCTATGTATGTGGCTATTGCCCGGTCGGTAACTCTTTTAGGATGTTGGTTCCAAGTGAGTTTCTGATCCAAGATGATTCCCAGATATCAAACCTCACTTGCGAAGTTGATTTGTATCCCACATACGGTTGGGGCTGTTATATTTAGCCTCCTTTTCATTGTAAGAGGTAGGTACAGTTATGGTTTAGTTGGGGTTGACCTCGGGGTTGACGCATAAACCCTCTTGTAGACACCATCTAATAATGACATTTTACATCAACACGTTGAAGGACAGAGACGCAGATCAGCGTCATTTTCTGAAGTTGCGATGTGACACAACGCTGATATGCGTCTTCAGATTGATGGTTGAAAATGATACGACGCCGTTCAGCGCTTGTATCTACCATACAATTTAATGTGCATCCAATCGCCATGCACTGTCACAATACTTTCGAATATCAGTGCCGTAGTCACCCGTAGTGTCACAAATTTCAAATTTATTTACATCCCCAGTCCCCCTCCACAAAAAGAAACAGAACGCCGTCCAGCGTCTGCATGAATTGGTATCTTACAGAAATGTTCACTCTCCTTCAAACTGTTAATGAGGTTACTAATGATCCTGTCGTGCTTGCCCATAATGATAACTGTGAGGGCGTCAGCTTATCCTAGGACCGTGATCCCTAGGGCGCTACGCGCGATAGGAAGTTCATCTACTACCAGTGGCCACGGAAGTGGGGACAGTAGACCCCCTTGGAGGCATCCCTTGATTGCAGAGTCACTTCCAATAATTGATTTGATTTTTCTATTCTCAAGCATGGTTTTATTCCATGCAAAATTTAGTTCCGTCAAAGTCCTTATTTCTATAGCTAGCCGCTCTTCTTATGGATTAATTTAAAGGGAGTGTGACTCAAAAATGAAAGTTTTAGTGCAAAAAAATCTAAGAATAAATATTTAAACCTTATCTTGCTACGATGGTCCGTTTTCGAGTTAGGGCGGTTTAAAGTTACAACTAGGTGTTTGTGACTTCACACTGGATTATCAGGGACAGTATTAACACGTGCAAGAATTTTTCAAAACAAAAGACAATTATCTCCTAGAGTCAATTGCAACCACTCAAAGTATAGGGTACGGTTCACTGACGACTGAACGAACAGAAGACTGCGATTTCGGCGGTTGTGGTATCACAAGTTCCTGCATAATTTATCTTCACAAGGAATTTTCTCGGAGACTATTTTGAATATAGGACTGCGGTTTTCACGAGAGATCTAAGATTTTTTTTCTTGATTTAAGTAGCTCAAGTCGTTTTTTAGGGTCACACCCCCTTCAAGGTGTTATCGAAAGCTCCCTCTATATTGAGGAAAACCAAAACCACCTATTTATAATATTATTTTTTCAAATCTTAAATTTTTAAAACGTTTACTACGTGAAAGTAAATGTTGCAACCTTGTATGCGCTGTGAAGTTTTTCGGAACGGGGGCGCGCCACAGAAAACGAAAGTACCGAAGCGAAGGGGAGATAGAAAATGAGAGACTAGACCAGAGAGAAGAAGGTTGTCTGCCATTGTTCATTATTAAATTTTTATTTTGTATTAAACTAATTGTTCAATCCAATTTGTGATTAGTTTGTGTGTCATAAGGAGCATTCACAGGTCAGTTGATTAAATGATATTTTTTTTGAGAGTTTATTTTATAAAAGTGTTATTTTTTTCATTTTCATTGGGTTTTTTTGTTTGTTTATAACATTCTTTATAACATGTGCATTGTTCATTTATTTAACAAAAGTTGTTTCATGCTGTGAACACCGCAGATAAAAAGTAAATTGAAACCAAATAAATTATGTACTGTCTTTTGTGCTGATGGGATTGTAATTTTTGGTATTCAGAACGTGTATTAGGGTTTTGTTGAATCTACTAACATTTTCCTACCTTGACAAGCGAATATCCTAGCAAACAAATTGAAAAATCAATCTAGAGATATTGGCTCAAAATAACAACTTTAGCTGAGTAGCCTCCCGTACGGGACCTCAGTACCTGCTGGTGAAACTGACTAACTAAACTAACCAAAAACTCTTCAGTACCTATTGAATATAGGTAGTATTGATTGAATGTTGTGCGTGGAATTAAAACTCTAGCACTAGAACGGGTACGAGTACCTAATTGAAAACTTTTATTGACTCACAATTATTAAAATGACACAGTATGTTTTGATTTTTGCGGAATGTTAGATCAAGGGTTTATCTGCCGTGCTCTTTCCCTTCGTTAGTTCCAGGTCGAGAACGGTACGATCTACTTTAATAATAAATTAGACGTTTCACAATTTTTTCGTTCATTCTACATATCACAAGTTTCCTTAAAGAAACCTGCCCAAAGTATACGGAAATTGTGTTTAGGTCAGAATTGGCTGAATTTTGTATATAATGTACGCCGTTCTGATTGAAAGTTACCATTGCACCGATTCTGAAAAATGACTCCTTTTTGAGAAAATTGATTTCATAGGTACCAAGTATAAGGCTTGGAGATTATAATGAACGTTCAATGTAGCGTGAATAAGGTGAGCTTGTGGCGCAGTGGTGTGCTACGATAGCACACTAATGGCCATTTGCACGGCTATCACTTAAGGGATATTTAATTTAATCTAAGTAGAGCTTTGAATGTGACTTTTGTTTCTATAAGTCACATTCGAAGCTCTACTTGGATTAAATATCCCTTAAGTTATAGCGGTGCAAATGGCCGTAAGGAGTACATTTTCAGGATTGGTGCAATGGTAACTTTTAATCAGAAACGCGTGATCTACATTATATACAAAATTCGGCCAATTCTGACATGAACACAATTTCCGTATACTTTGGGCAAGGTCCTTTCCCTAATATTTGCTATGTCGGGCGCATGTCAAGAAAGTAAAATTGAGTAAGTTTCCACAACGTAGGTCCTAATTTGTTCTTCATTTCGTTTTTCAGAAAATTTGTTAAAAGAAGAGGTAATAAAAATTTAAACCGTTCAATTCTGATGAAGGAGCCTGGCTATGTTATACCTACTACAATATTAATAAATACACTCCTGATGTGTTTATCAATGATTTTCTCCATACTCCATAGATTATAACGGAAGTTCCAATGGGAATGGAACAACATAATTCTACACAGCTTCAGAAATTGTCAATTTTTATTTTTTATTTATTTGTAAATTCAGTTCACGGAAGCCTAGTGTGGTACAACAATATACCTTCTGATTTTGTATAATAGTAGGCTGAATAATTTAACCCGCAGTTTGAAATTGTGTCGGACTCTTTATTTTTGAAATAGAGTCAATAGACACAATCATCTCCTCTGAGAATTAACCACCTTTCAAAAGACCGCATTATTTTTCATTCTTCAAATATTGGAAATTTCGAAAGTCACATATATAGAAAATATACAAGTTTGGGGACTTTTTTGTGTAAACTTCTTCAAGTCCAGTCCTGCTGGAACTGAATACATACTGTTTTTTCACCTTGCAAAAAATCACCTCTCCAGAGAGTTTCATCAAAAATATTCATTATTTTCTGTTGCAAAAGATATCGAGGCAGATAGCGAGCCTTCATCTTCATATAAGTTTCCAATTTAAAACCCCCAAGTGGCAAAACTGCTAGCGACGTCATGTATAAATAAAATTCTTGCCATGTGTGGTGTGTTGCGAATAAAAGCCTCACCAGTCCGTAACGATCCGGTGTCCGGTTCGGGAAATATCTGGAAATATTGTGAGAAAAGGTCGCGAAATTCAACTGGTAACGAAACCGAGCATTTAAACTTGCGAAGCTGATAGTGGCCAAGTTGCAATTTAACGTTGTATAAACGTTGCATCACCTAACCTGACGTTTTGCTCCAATCCGGATCGTATTAACGTTGTCAGGCCAAAATTTGGGTTCACTTCATTACTCGTTTGAGAAATATTTAATTTTAACTATCCACTTCACATGCTAAAATTTTAAAATAATGAAGCTCTTATAGTAGCCCAGTAGCATAGAATATTCTTCACTTTCAATTTTATGAAGTAAAATATTCAAAAGTGTTTAAAGTGAATTCAGATTTGCTGAAGTCTGTCATTGTAATTTTGACATAAAAAATGTCAACTAAAGAGAATCTTTTTGAAATCATTTCCATAACGTTTTTGTTACAAAATCATGTTAGCAATAGCTATCAGTGACTTCAGCACAACCGAAGAAGACATAGTCTCATCCTCTCAGGAAGAGTTCCACGTAATGAAAATCCAAACAAAAATTTCTAATTATCTATTTGGTGACGAATTGTAGACTCCCCCATCGGCCAGATCTGCGGAGGAAGCACCTGTATCATCATCAACTTTGTCAGAGCTGGAGGATCAAAATAGGGTAATTTCTAGTTTAAGAAATCAACTACAAAATCAAAAAGACCAGCTCATGTATTATATTAACAAGGAGTCAACTAGGAGCAAAATTGTAGAACTATCTGAATCAGTAAGTAATCCATTTTTAATTTCTCTGCTGCAGCAATTTCACACACCTGTTGGATACACCTTTGGGGGGTTTGAGATAAATTGGAGGGTGAAATTTCTTATCATCCCTTCGGTTTCCGTTATTAATTTACAGTGCACGCTCCAGGCATCTGAGGAAAGCTTACCCGTGAATCTGGCCCTTTACAGATTCTGCAAACAGTCGGGAATGAAAACTAAATTACAGCTGCTACATGACCGTATGAATCAATTGGACAGTGACGTGTCGCATTCTCTTAAAGATCACGAATTTGTTCTGAGGAAAATTATAAATAGGCTCTGTGAATTTGTTCAAGTAAGAATTGCGGAAACACTTGACTTCTGAAACCAAAAAAGGTTAATTATTATTCTCCCCTCTAGGAAATGTCAAACGGTGACTTCAAAGATCAGTTCGGACGCTTTATTAATGATCCTCTACACGTTAATCTTTTCGACAAACTGTTAAGTGCCACCCTGAGCTTGCGAAGTAAATTGGAAATGTTTAGAAATTGTTGCGACAGGATCCTTATTATTGAAGAGAAACGAAATGCCATAGTGGACCGAGTCTATTCGTTGCCAGTAGAAGACCGGGTAAATTGCAATTATCTTGTTGGAATTCAAATGGAAAAAGTGCAGCTGGAAAACGAAATAAGGCGCATTTCCCGGCACAACGACGCTAAGGCTCCAGACAGACATCGAATTAGGGAATTAAATGTCATTGAGAAAATTTTACATAATTTACAGTGGGAGCTGAATAGCAGTTTTTTAGAAAATGAAGGTAACTTTTCTGGCTTGTGGTTTTCATTTTGAACATGATTTCCAACAATGTTGAGCAACAACTTCAATAATTGAATCCAAATGATTCCCATTTTTGAGTGTTTTAGCTTTACATTGCAAAATTCAACATTAATATTGACTTAGTTTTGTACGAGATTCTAATTTTGATTTATTTCAAGAAGACTGCGTTGATAAAATGTTGAAAAAAATCAATTCGGAAGCCAGAGTCTTGCTGGAAATGACAAAGAAACAGAAGCAGCGATTTGAATGCGAATCGTCCAAAGCCAAGTATCCGGAACTTAATCGGGTTTTGCTTTTCATTAATCTGGCTTCTAGCGAGGACAAAGATTTAGATCGTTACGGCATCAAAACTTATGAAGAAATTCAGTGAGTATATTATTTTCTAATATATGTATTTTATTATAACATAATAATAACAACTATAGATTTTTCCAAAAGATAAAAAAAGAAATCGAAACAATAAAGAAAATTATGAAAGAAGAATCTGAAAGAAACTTTAGAAAGGCAAAAAAAGAATGCGAAGTCTTAAATAGTAAAGTAACCGAAGTTCTGTTAGACAATAGCAGAACTAAATTGATTAATAAATCGTTGCAAGCCGAATTAAATGAGGCTAGTAACAAATAATTTCCTATTAAACCCCTAGCCTAATCTAATTAAATTATTAAAGCTCAAAACGGAACAAACAATCCTGATAAACATATTAACACAAGAAAGGGACGCATATAAAACTCAAGTAGAAGATTTACATGCTACAAGAGAAGCATATGCTCAGCTGGTTGATAGGCAACCGAATATTATTGAAATGGAACGAGAGTTTTTCAAGGAAGTTGGTGATAGAGATGCTAGAATTATGGGTGAAAATTGTATTTACATATTTGATAAGAATATTTTATATGAACAGATTTTTGCAGAATTAGAAAAAATCGTTTCATCTCAGAAAGAAGAATTAAATCAATTGAAAAGTAAATTAACAGAAGAAAGTGTTCAAAGTAAATCTATTGATTTATCTCATCCTCATACAGCTGATAGTCCTGATACAAAAAAAGTGAGAATCCTTTTATTTCCCGTGTAAAGCAATATACAGGGTTATCCAACGAAAGTGCTTTCTACCTTATATACCTGTTAATTGGAGAGGTACAAAAAAATGTTAAATATAAAAGTTGTTGGGATTTTTATGAGGAATTAGGAGCATTTATTAAAAAAAAATGGAAAGGCGGGTTTAGAAAATATAGCAAAAAATTTGACAGTTCTTGCTTAATTTAAATGGAATAACCCATTTTAGAATATGTTTTTGGATTCCACATTAAATTTGAGCCCTGATATATGTTACATGTCCTATAATTAAATTCAGGAATTTTGGAGATATCGCTAATCAATGATTTTTCACTATAAATTAGGAAAAAAATCATATTTCATAGTTGGAAGCTGGTAAGAGTGGTAAGTTCCCGTCTAGCCTTGCTTTTTACTATTGTTTTTAATTATTATATCGAAAATGTGTCCAATATTAGATCAAATATGCTAAATTTTGCTTTAGTCCAGCTTCACCTGGTTCACCTTTTACCAAGGTAAATTATGTAAAAGGTGAATCAGGTGAAGCTGGATTTAGGCAAACTTTTGCATATTTCATCTAATATTGGACACATTTTCAATATAATGATTATAAACAATGGTAATAAGCAAGACTAGACGGGAGCTTACCACTCTTATCAGCCTCCAACGATGAAATATCATTTTTTTCGTAATTTATGTTGAAAAATCATTGATTAGCGATAGGTATCTCCAAAATTGCTGAATTTAATTATAGGACATGTAACATATATCAGGGCTCAAATTTAATGTAGAATCCAAAAACATATTCTAAAATGGGTCATTCCATTTAAATTAAGCAAGAAATGTCAAATTTTTTGCTATATTTTCTAAACCCGCCTTTCCATTTTTTTTTAATAAATGCTCCTAATTCCTCATAAAAATCCCAATAAATTTTATATTTAACATTTTTTTGTACCTCTTCGATTAACAGATATATAAGGTAAAAAGCACTTTCGTTGGATAACCGTGTACAATTTTTTTTTAGTTAGAATCAGAAAAACCTGCAAGTAATTTTCCGAATAATAAGGTGACATCATTGTCTGATAATTGTTGTCCTAATGAGCCCAAAAAGGAAAAGAAACTTGTGAAATCCGAACCTTTTTTCCCACACTATCAATGTCCGAAGAAAACATCCTATAGTGAATTAGCGAGAAAATCCACGTCTAGTAAAAAATCATTGAGCAATTCCTTAGAAATATCTTCAGAAAAAGAATTATGGACCATTAACAGACAATCGAGCGATACTGTTCCGGAAGCATCTTCAGAAAATATCTCTCCAATGCCAAGTGAAGAGATAAAATATAAAAATGAGCACACGTTATACGAAATGGACGAGTTTGAAATTTACGAAGATGCATCTATAGAGTGTCTGATGCTGGAGTAGAGTCGTCAGAGTCTTGTTATGTAGAATCAAATATCAAATAAAGTAGGGTTTTTAATTATAGACTTTTTCGAATTTATTGTCAGAGTAAAAATCAATCGTGTGATTGCCTAAATTAGTTCTGGTTCAGGATCCTATTATTCTTAGCACGAACGACTTTTTGAATTGAAGAAAGAATATTAACTACATGCTACCAACATAACATTCAGTTAATTAAACGTAAATATTAGTTTAGAACTTCTGCAAAGCTTTCCAACACGGTATTTGATGTCGGCGAAATTAGCTTAATTCAGTTCAAGCTATGAATACTAACGTCATCGGAGCACGAACATGACAAGAAGCCTATATAGTAGACAATAGGGGAGAATGGAAACGAGGTTCACGAAAATGATTTCAGTGAGCCCAAAAGGCTGATAATTGTTGGAGCAGTTCAAATTTATAAGCTTAAATGATTTTCACAGTGCTGAGGTAAACTATCATTTATCTATTTTTACCAATATATACCAAAAATAGGAAAATTATTGGAAGTGGGACCTTAGTGAAGAGTTAAAATTTTGGACTTTTTGAGAGATTTTACACAGTTTTTCCAGGAACGTTACATTTATAAAGTGGCAAACAGGAGAGGTTTCATATTTTTATTGTGAAATATTTTGTTAATAACTTGTTCCAAATAAAATTGGCTCGATAATTGTTTCATTTCCATGTTTATGGATGATGAACAGCTTGGGTTTTTAGTAACAAAATGTTGCCTTGCAACAGAAATATAATTTGAACGTTTCAGTGTCGCTTCAGTGTAATTTTATTTTATTGAAAAGTGAAATTTGACCCATCAATGTGGATTGCTGGATCGATTAAAAAGTTATACAGGGTGAGTTACTAAGCGCGCGGCGGTCCATATCTCCTATATTAACCGAGACCGAAGAAAAAAATTAATGCAAAACTTGTAGATAAACATGAGTACTACATTCCTAAATTATTTTCCAGTATACAGGGTGGCCCAATAGCTAGTAGTGACACAAAGTTATGTTTTTTTGAATGACACCCCCTGTATATTATGACATTTCTTGATTCTGTGGAAAATTCTAGACAAATTTAATGTACTATGTCATATACCTATCTTCAACTGTTTTGGAAATATTGAAAGTTGAAAACTGCCTTTTTTGCATCTTTAACAGACTGTAAAACCTGAACGGTTAATTTTACAAGAAAACGGATTTCACATTCCTATCTTAGTTTTTCATAAACTATCATTTGACACCAATCTTAAATTTAATCCATGATTAAAAATTCCACCCAAATTATTAATCTTCGATTAAATTCAAAGTTGGTGTCAAATGAGAGCTTATGAAAATCTAAGATAGGAATGTAAAATACGTTTTCCTCTAAAATTAACCGTTTAGGTTTCACAGTCTGTCAAAGATGCAAAAAAGTCAATTTTCAACTGTCAATATTTCCCAAACAGTTGAAGATAGGTATATGACATAGTACATGAAATATGTTTAGAATTTTCCACAGAATCCAGAAATGTCATAATACACAGGGAGAGTCATTTGAAAAAACATAACTTTGTGTCACTACTAGTTATTGGGCCACCCTGTATACTGGAAAATAATTTAGGAATGTAGTACTCATGTTTATTCACAAGTTTTGTGTTTAGTTTTTTCTTCGGTCTCCGTTAGTATAGGAGATATGGACGACCGCGCGCTTAGTAACTCGCCCTGTATATCTAAATTATATTTTTCGTTCAGTAAATCTTGTTTTTAAAATCTATTTATTTTATTAAAAACTAAGAAGTTACAACAAAAAATACTAGACTCTAATTGCTGCGGCGAAGAGCCGATATCAAAAAATATCGCTGACGGTGCAATCATGTGGGCGAAACCTTGATATGACGGTACTTTTCCAGTGCAGTACCGCTTACTCAGCATCTTTATAATATTGTGAGCTTTTACAGAGGCGTACGCTTATATTTAACATTGAAAAGGAGAATTATGTATATAATAATAACATAGGGATTTATAATATAATTTCTACATTATAGTAATATGTACTAGTACATAATAACCTTATTATCTTAGATAATAACTACATAGTAGTAGGTACCTATATAAAAAAATCATGATAATAATTGCAGAAGTATAGGGTGATCTATTATAAACCCACATAACAGTGAAAGAACATTCATATTCTCAGAATATTCCCTCAAAGTGCTTTTTGGAATGTTCTTTTAGGAATGTTTAATGAATATCCTAAGAATGTTTCGATTGAAATATTCATTTTTGAACGTTCTATTTATGTACTAGCAATGTTGCTTCTATGCACCTACCTGAAAGATTGTGCCAAGAACCTACTTTATATAACATTATTTGAATATTGTCATACGAACATTATTATAATGTACCCTAAAAAATGTTCTTTCGGCTAATATCTCTATCAAGTATTAAGAATATACCTACCAAGTTGTGCTGAAAAGTTTATCTAGGTAGGTAACCATATAATAAGAATATTTTCATATGGTTCACCTAATTATCTAAAGTATCTACTAAAAAATCTCAATTGAACAATTAAACAATAATGCTCTATCTAGAACCTACTAAGAATATTATAGGTATATTCTTTTTCTTCTGCTTTGTAGGACTTCCAAGAGAGGGAGCCACACGCTATTAAAGATCTACATCTTGCCTCGCGTTTGAATCACCTTGGAACCACCAGAACTCTTTCACTGCCTTTAATATAAAAGGGAGCATTATTTGGAAGCGAAAATTAACATTCCAAGTATATCCTTAGAATCAAACAAGAATGTTATGTCTAGGATGCATATTGAGAATGATATATTATGTAGATATATTCTAAGAATATTTTAAGCATACTGGTATAATATTCTTTTAAGAATATAACTATAATGTCATAGAAACATTCTTTGAATGTGAGAATATACATTTCGAGCATATTTCAAGAATCAAACAGGAATATTCTTTTCAGGATGTACTGAGAATCTCATAGGTATATTCTAGGAATATCCTAATGGATTTCCCAGGAAGTTCTTGGGTATTGCAAACAGTATTTCTACAATCTTTTCTCAGAACATTCTCAGGACATTCGCAATGGTTTTGGCGAACATTCTAGGCACATTCCTCCTAAAAAAAGAACATTCTTAATACATTCTAAGAATACAATTTTGTTATGTGGGAATGTCACCCCAATCTAACTTTTTAATTTGACATCTTTGATAAAAGTGTCAAATACAAAAGTTTCAAGAAATTGTCGAAAGTTTTCAATTAAGTCAGTTTGAGGCATACAGGGTGTGTCAAAAAAAAGTGTAGCAGTGTGAAGTTATATTTTTTAAAATGGAATACCCTGTATATTGTGAGCTTATTTGTTAGTCCCTTTCAACCTGATCTGAACGATATATGGTTTGATATGTCCATCTTCAATAGTTATAGGGAAAAACATGAAAACCCCTTTCAATTTTTCATATTGAAAAAAGAAAAATTATACCATTTAAGCTTTGGAGAATTTTTTTTATAAACAGTTTATTGTTCAAATGTTATTCATTATTATACAAGGTGAAATATTATAATAAATCAACGAATAAATCCAGATGTCTAAGTTATTATTTTTATTTTTAAAAAAATAACATGAGACCTAGGAAGGGATTTTTGCCTTTTTCCCTATTACTATTAGAAATAAACCGAGAGATAACCATATCAAACAATATACCGTTGAAATCAGGATAAACGGGACTAACAAATAAGCGCACAATATACCGGGTGTTCTATTTAAAAAAATATAACTTCACACTGCTGCACATTTTTGACGCACCCTGTATGTCTAAAACTGACTTAGTGAAAAACTTTTGACAATTTCTTAAAACTTTTGTATTTGACACTTCTGTCAAAAACGTCAAATGAAAAAGTTAGCAGGGGGTGACATTTATAATAGATCACCCGGTACCTAGTTTTGCCAATTTTTGCCGCTCGAATAATGTTCATTCACAAAATCAGAATTATTCCTGGTTTTTTAACACATTTTCAAAACAATCTCAAATATTATGTCCATTTCAGCAATTAAGCGAATGGAAAGATCTATTTATTTCAATAATATCGTCCCCTTCCTTACAAAGGGGCTTATCTCAAAAAATTGCTAAATTGAGTTAGGCCCTTGGGAGACATCATCAAAAGAGATACCTGCAGCTACCCTCTAAAAGGCGTATCTCAAATCCTTAAATATAGGTAATCTCGAAGGCCTATCTCAGATTTGGCACGAAAATAATCTCTCAAAATATTTGTAAAAACTTCTTTTTTCTCTCCTGAAAAATCACAAAAAATGAGATAGGTCTCTTTGCAAGGAAGGGGACGATATTATACTTATATACTTAATTGATGAATCATCACTGGAGAATGTAAATAAAAATAATGTGAATGAAAAAAGGGACCGGTAATGTAAACTGTACCTTTCTTTTCTTATCCGACTTAAAAAAAAAAGGTTCGGTAAATCATCATTCGGCAGTTCACCGTCGTGGAAGAATGAACTATTGAAAAAATAATAAAACATTTCGAGTTAGTCAGTTATTATTTTTGACCGGAGTTCCCAATTGATTAGTGTACAAATTACCTATTAAATTTCGTAAGTACCAACAAGTATTTTTGATCAATTCTTGAATGAAAAACCCTCAATTTTTCTAATATCAGAAATGTAGGTATCTACAACATAGGGCTGTAAAGGGTTGATCGATGAATTTGATAATAAGTAAGTTTTGATAGGTGTGATACAGGACCAAGACGTTGGTAAGCTACTTCTCAATGGGTGAGTTTTTTATTGAAGTATTTTCATGTTCTATTGTACGATGGCTCAGAAGGGACATGAGTATGTTTTATTGTATTAAATCTCGCACTGCCAGATTCAAATACGCACTGCTAGATTTAGCAACCGAGGCAACCGCCTAGGGCGCCACGATTAGGGGCGCCAAATTGCAAGCAAATTTATTTCGAGTGAACAAGAACTAAAAAAAAATTGTAAATGCTACAAGGATAATAGGGAGGAAATAAAAGGTCCGACAACAT